TTTCGTATATATTTTAATGAAAAATATTTTCACTAAAATAAAAGTTAATTTTCTGTAGTCAATAAAAAATATTTTTCTGCGGTCTATTTTTTTTTATTACTAAGAATCATGAACTAATTTTTTGTAGTAGAGGAAAAGGAGCGGCAGTAGTAGTGAAGGTGGTGGATAAGAGATGATGGTGGTGGCGGTGGTGATGGTGATGGTGATGGCGAAACAGATTAGTGGTGAAGTTGTGGTAGTGGTAGTGTAAATGGAGTGACATGAGTGAAAGAGAGGTAATGGTAGTAGTAGTGGTAGTGGTGGTAGTGGAGTGGTGGCGATAGTAGTAGTAATGGTAGTCGTAGAGGTGAAGTGGCTATAGTAGAAGTAATGGTGGTGATGGAATGGTGTTTGCAGTAATGGTGAAGGTGGTAGAGGAGATGGGTGGTGAGAGAGAGAAATGAGTGAGAGACAGATAGACAAGAGAGAGAAAGACAGAGTGATGAGCGAAAGAGAGATAAAGAGAGAAAGAGATATAGAGAGAGACAGAGAGGCAGAGAGAGAAATCGATAGAGAGAGACATATAGAAAAATAGAGATAAACAAGAGATGAGAGAGACATATAGAAAGAAAGCGAAAAGAGATGAACGATAGAGAGAATAGAAAAATAGAAAAAAAAGAGATGAGCGAGAGAGACAGAGAGATAAAAGATATGAGAAAGATAGAGAGAAGAGAGATAAGCGAGGGAGACATAGAGAGAAGACAAATGAGAGAGATAGAGAGAAGAAAGATGAACGAAAGACACACAGACAAACAGACAAACAGATAGATAGATAAACAGACAGAGAAATAAGAGTGATGAGTGAAAGAGAGAAAGAGAAGAGTGGTGGTAGTTGAATGACATTTGCAGTAGTGGTAAATGTGGTGATCGCCGATCGGTGCAGAAGATGAAGATGAACAACGAAACGAGAGAGTGAGAGAGACAATGATGAGATGAGATGAGACTGAGAGAGTAAGGTATAGATAGCAATTAGGGTTTTTTCTTTTGTTTGTCATAGATGAGGTGAGTGAGATGGTGAGAGATGGACGGTTAGATTTGAAAGACGGGAGGAAAAAAAAAATTAATGCGAGCGGGTTGGGCGGGTGCGGGTCAAACCCACAACCCGTCCGCAACCCGAAATTTATATAAAATCTAAACCGCACCTTACCATAATGTGTTTGCGAAACCGCCCACACGCGTGCGGTTCGGATCGGGTAGGGCGGTTTGGGCTGTTCGGATAACCCTACGCCCAGCCCTAGAGACAGAGTGATGAGCGAGAGAGAGAGAGAGACAAAGTGGTTACTAAAAGTGTATTTTCTTATAGTGGATCGATAAATCGAGAAGGAGCTCGATAAATAGAGAAGATAGGAGTAAGAGAGTGAGCAAGTCGAACATAGTGAGGGAGAAATAGACAAATAGACAAGTAGACACAAAGAGAGAAAATAGTGATTAGTGAGAGAGAGACAGGGAGAGAGAGATAGATAGAAAAAGAGATAGAGAGAGAAAGAAAGAGAGAGATGAAAAGATAGAAAAAGAGTGAAAAACAAGAGATGAGCGAGAGATAGACAAAAAAAGAGAGAAATAGAGCGAAAAAAGATAAGCGAGAGAGAGACATAGAAAAAGAGAGAGACAGAAGGAGAAGAGAAATGAGCGAGAGAGATAGAGAGAGATAGAAAGATAAGAGAGAGAGAAAGAGAGAGAAAAAAAAAGAAATGAGAGAGGTAGAGATAAGAGAGATGAGCGAGAGAGACAGAGAGAGAAAACAGATGAGAGAGATAGAGAGAAGAGAGATAGGCGAAAGACACAGAGAGAAAATGAAAGAGAGATAGAGATAGAGAGAAATGAATGAAAAGAGATAAAGAGAAGAGAGAGAGATAGAGACAGAGAGACAGGAAAATGAAAAAATGAATGAAAAGAGAAATGTTATATCAAAAGAGTAAGACGACATTGTTTTTTTTTAATTTTTTTTGCGACAGAAAAATACCGTTGAATTTATTCAAATCATTTTGTGACTGTATATATATGAAGCTATCTCAAAACCACAATCACCAAAATCTTTTAAAAATTCACTAAATACCAAAAATACAAAAAAAATACCATAATTCAATACATTTTTTTTTGGGTATTTTTATGTATTTATTAATTTTTAAAAATTTTTAAAATAAAAAAAAAAGTGACATGTACCTTTTGTATTAATAAAATTGACTCGATAAAATTGATTCTATTATTTAAAATGTGAAAAAATTAGAGATTATTTTATTATACATGGTGTAATACTAATGTTAGTAAAGTAATTTTTATAAAATTAAAAAATCATTCAACCATACATTTTGCAAATATTCATAAATATAAAATTAATAATAAATTAAAAAAAATTAGAGGGGGCCGGTGCCCCTTCCAACCCCTACACAGTTCTGCCCTTTTTGGATCGTGTGTGAACAAATCTATTTTTCACATATACTCCACCATTATGTATATACGGATAAATGTTAGAAAAATATACACTATGTCTGGTTTTAATTTTTTGAGTCATTTTTTTAAAAAATGATTTGAAAATTATATTTTGAAAATGGATATATGTTTATTTCTAAAAATTTGATTATTGTAAAGAAATTCGAATTTTCCTGCACACATAGAGAGAAAGGGCAGCCTAAATGATGTATTCAACAATAAATTAAATTTTTTTTTATTGTCACATCAAAAATATTACCATATTTGTTTTATGTATATATATGTACATACTATATATGTATCGAAAAATAATTTGATATGTACCCTTTTATGGGTACATATCTTACTATTAAATTTGTGATTTTATCGTAAAATTTCATGATATCAATCACAAAATACGTAATTTAATCACAAATTAGAATAAAAAAAATTAAGTAACCAACTTACAAACTTTTAAAACATCAAATACAAAAGTATTTTTGAATTTTGTTTTGTTTTCAAATTTAAAATCCCTTTATATTGAATATTGTGTCAACATAAAATTCAAAATCCCGCCACATTAAACTTTCGATCAACTTACTAAAACCAAAAAAAAAGAAAAAAAAGAGAACAAGTCACATCAAAAAGTAGAAAGAAAATAAAAAAGAACAAGTCACATCAAATTACATTTGTGTTTCCAAGTGTACATTTGAAAAAAAAAATGAAAACTTTTTTTGATTTTTGGACTTAACCAAACAAAAATTCTAAAATTAAAACAAAAAAAAAAATTTGAAAAACAGGAACCAAACACGATAGGAATTTTTGAAAATAGTTTGTTACGTCGTACACTTTATTAGTGTCACTAAACGACTGATTAAAGAATGTGATCATTTGTTATATAATTGAAAACTTGAAGGAGTAGATTTAATTTTTTTAATTTAAAAAGAGAATTTATATTTTTAATAAATCTCAAATAACTATATTTATAATTTATCGTAAATATATAAAAAAAATATTTTTATTTTGAAAGTCACCCATATGATACTTGCTCACATCCATATGTAGGTGTATGTATAAAAATCTTCAGATAATTGATGTATAGTATTCAAATTTAGTCGTTGGTCTGCTTGGGCAATGACCTGCTTAGAAGGGCAGACGCTGTTGATGCTCTTCGGAACTGGCTTGGGTTTGGTTGTTGTTGTTTAAATTTTATTTTATTTTAATTTTTTGGGTGTGGCTGCTACTCTGTGTTGGTAGTGCCGGCCCTAGGCATGGGCCAACAAGGTCATGGCCTAGGGCATTTAAAGTAGACTCAAAAAAAAGTCTTTTTATTATGATTTAGCGTAATATATTAAGTATGTTTTAAGTTAAAAAAATAATTAAAGAAAGTTTAAATTAACTTAAAAAAATTGATCTATTATTGTTGTTGTTTAAATTTTATTTTATTTTAATTTTTTGGGTGTGGCTGCTACTCTGTGTTGGTAGTGCCGGCCCTAGGCATGGGCCAACAAGGTCATGGCCTAGGGCATTTAAAGTAGACTCAAAAAAAAGTCTTTTTATTATGATTTAGCGTAATATATTAAGTATGTTTTAAGTTAAAAAAATAATTAAAGAAAGTTTAAATTAACTTAAAAAAAATTGATCTATTAAAAAATTAAAAGATCCATTTAACAAAATTAACATTGTTATCCATTGAAAATAAACCTAAAAAAGGGTCCTCCTATTATAGTTTATTGTAATATATTAAGTATATTTTAAATCTAAAAAAAATTAAGGAAGGCACAAATTAACTTAAAATAAATTGACCCATTAAAAAATTAAAAGATCCATTTAAAATAATTAGTATTGTTATCTATTGAAAATGATTTTACAAAAAAATTAGATTATACAAGTTTGATTGATTTATTTGTTTCTAAAAATGCAAGAAGAGCGAAGATCAAGCAAAACTTATTAATTGTTATAATGTAATACTAAGTATTTTTGTGATTTTGACACAATTTTTTTGTCTTCTATCTTCATTTTTTTTTTTCATTCAATGAAAAAAAATTATGAAGAATGTCAAAAATTTATTAATTAATTATTGACTTTAGGCCCTGAAAATCTCCGAAACAGGCGTGTGTTGGTTACTCGCCAACTTCAATTCCAAATTAGTTGGGTTTTGTTTTGTTTCGGTTTGTTGCGTTGTTGCACTTATCTCTTTTTTTTTTTTTTTTTTTTTTAAGATTTTTTAATTTTTTTTTTCTGATTAAAAATATATATATATATATATATAGTATTCAAATTCTACCAAACCAAACTATTGATTGGAGAGAAGCATGAGAAGATGGTAATTGCTTGGAAGTCTCTCCAAAGTCTACTCTTTGATTCTCATCCAAATTCACTATTTCCGTGTCAAACATTTTAATGGCCGAACTTGTTGACTCTGAAAATCAATAATAATAAAAGTGATAATACTCTTTTTCAAACTTTGATTATTCTTTTCTTCGCTGTCTTCTTTAGAAAGAATGAAATAGAAGATAAAAGACAAAACACAGAGAGATACAAAACCCATCTGAATTCAATAAACAAACATCTCCAATAATATTTCTTCTTTTGTGTATTTACTACAAAATATGAAAAAAAAATATTACTTGAAACAACAAAAGAAAGAATGAAATTTTTGTGTCCTATCTCCCCGCCTCCAACAATAAAAACAAAAATGTACAGCATCACGATCTTGTCTCATGATCTAAAATAACGGGTATCGGAATATATATCGATATCAACAGTCATATATTTATAAATATCATATAGTATTGACATCAAAAACTTAAAATCCCGATATGTAAAACCCGGCTCATTCTTACCCCCTAAAAATGTAAAAAGAAAAGGAAATTGGCACCCCCACCCAAAAAAAAAAAAAAAGAAACAGCAAAATAAAAAGTTTTAATCACATTCAGTTCACTGGAAAGCTGCCAATCTTATTGCTATTGCTTGTTGTGGTGTTGGTGGTAGTGGTGGTGGAAGCCGTGGTCGTGGGATTGTTGCTGTTTGGCTGCTGACCACCGCCCATAATGGAGGTGATGGCGGCAGCAAGAGCAGCGGTGAAATTGGGATCTGCAGTGATGGCGGCTGTGGCGGCGCTAAGAGTGTCAGCAAATGATGAGTGGTTCGGTGGTGGTTGTTGGTGGTGCAATTGTGGAGGTGGAGCTTGGTGACCTAATTGGGCTGCATCTATATCTTGAGAAAGTTGGAGGCCGGAGAATTTTGATTGGTTATATAGGGCTTGCCCGAAGACATGAGCCGCCGGTTGTGGTGGGGTTGGAACAGAGGCGAAGGGGACTGGAAATTGGGTAGGGGGTCTTTGGAATTGCAGTGGGTTGGGACTAGTGTGGGTTAGGTCTAATGTGACTGTTGGAAATGGTGCTGAGGCTGAAATTGTCGCCATGCTCGATGAGGATGGAAGGATTGCTCGAGCGAGGAAATTAGGGTTCATGAGCCCGTCTGCACTTGACATCGAGCCAGAAAGTAGCATGCTTGCTGCAGCTGATGTGGTTGATGCCATTGCCATGGCTGCCGGAGGGAGGGGATGGTTGTGAGTACCTTCATAGGTTGTTATTAGGATTGTTCTGTCCTCGGCACACCTTTGAACCTGTCAATTGCCATAACTCATGTTAGTCTTTGAAAAATGTTATTCTTCCAAAAATTTTAGACAGAATTATTCATCAGAATGATTTGGCTGTAATAATTTTAACATTAACAAATATATTAGTGATTTTTTATTTTAAGACGATAAGGCCTTAAATATGTTAAATCATACTTTATACATTTGATGGTGTAGTGGTATTGGTATACGTATTGATAATCGAGTACTGTTGTTATTGATTTTTTAAAATATTTAATTATAAAAAAATATTGTATAATAGCTGAACATGATTGTCTGAATATAAATCAGTCTGTAAATTAAAAACTGCCGAAACACATGCGATTTTATTTCAATAACAAAACACGATACGTATCGGCTAATACAATATGATATTTAAAATCGTACTAATACCATGACTAGAAAATGAAATATGAATACACAAAAATGAAAATACAATCAAACAGATAGGAACTTACTTGTTTGCGCACTGGACAACCAACCGCCATGGTGCACCGGTAGTAAGCTCGAGGACATGGGTTCCCTTTCGCCATCTTCTGTCCATACTTGCGCCATTGACATCCGTCAGTGATCTGCAATACATCAATGTTGTAACATTAAGATCAATTCAACAAAACTTGGGGGAAAAAAAAACCATCAAATTTTGGAAAAGATAGGAAAAAAGACTAATGAGGAATTACCATGGGAGCTTCGGAGCGAGCTCGAACGGAGACCCGGGCTTTTCTCATGGTAGCTTCAGTGGCCTGATCAACATTAGTCTTAGAAGGATTCAATTTGGGAACCTTATTGGGAACCCAACCTTCTGATTCTGGACTCTCTTCTCTTCCAACTAATGGAACCATGTCTTTTTTGTTGTTGTTGGGATGAGGTGAGGCTGATTGTGTTCTTTCTTCTGATGAAGAATGAGATGGTTGATCATCTGTCTCAGCTGTGGCACTTGGTCCTAAGTCCATGAATTGTCTTGGCACCACTGGTCCTCCACCACCCTCATGTTTCTTATCTTCTGACCTTGCTTCTAATATCTGAACATACATAGAATATAACTGTAAGCAAAGCATCCTATTTGCATCACATTAAAATGCCACAATTAATTGGGGTAGCTTAGTTGCTCAGAAAGAAGAGAAAATGCTATTTATCATGAATTCCATAGATATATTTTTCTGAGTATGTAATTTGATCCTTACTAAGAGAATAATGGTTCAAGTTTTATCACATTAGGGATGTAAAATAAATCAAATTACTCAATCAGATCAATTCGATATGAAAACAAGTTAAGCTTAAATATAATTTAAAATTCGTATTCGTTATAAAAAAATGAAATATTATTTATGCTTAACTTATTATCAGCTTGATTAAAACTTGCTTAAGAATACATATCAAAATGAAAGTAATTCTGGTTAAACACATTTTTAACTTCATTAAAAAATAAATAAGTCAAGTTTAAACGACCTATTTTCGACTTGCTTGAATAGTCTATAATCTAGCTAGAAAGAATCCCTACATCTCACTAAAAGAATTATTGTTTCGAATTTTACTACAAGCTAGAACTTCTCTCTTTAAGCTAGGAATTTAATGTAGCCAAAAATTAAAAGAATTAAAATTAAAATGACACATAATTGGAAGACTAAAATGTGATCCAAAGAAAAATAAAATGACTATTACCTCATGTTGGTGAGTGGCTTCGGCTCTTGAACTCTGCTGTTGCTGTTGTTGTTGCTGTTGTTGCATTAATGTAATTAAGTGTAACTGTAGAGCACTGTAATTGTTGCTAACTTGAGAGAGCATCCCTCTTAACCTCTGGTTTTCAGCATTCATTCTTTCAACCTCAGCTTGCAATACTGCCATCTGAAAACCACAAAATTAACATTTCTTCGTCTAAATAATCTCTCTTCACAAAATAATAATAATAATAATAATAATAATATGAAAAAAACCAAAACAAAAAAACAAAACAGAACAAAACAAAAACATATGAAACTCACGAGGATCCTTACCTCGATCTTAGCTCGTTTATCTTCCACGTGGGATGAAATCCCATCGTCCACCGTTGACAGATCACTTTCCGTGTTAGTCGTACGAAGGTGCAAACCTGTCTATATTTCCAAAAAATAATAATAATAAATAAATAATAAGTCATAATAATTAAACTTTACCCCTCAACTATGGGCTATTTTAACTTTACACATTTTAGCTAAAAAAAGTTACATTTGTCCCCCTAATTTTATAATTTGCTTCAATTTCAATCTTCAGTCAACATCTTGTTTAAAAAAAAAAAAAGAAAGGAAAAAAAGAAAAGAAAAATGACATATGAGATATACATGTCAGTATATTATAAGAAAATATATTGGTTTTGTGATGAATATACTTATTTAAGAGGAGATTTATACCAAGAAATATGTGTTTTTTATTTATTTTATTTTTATCTAGACATAAAATTGCCATGTTTATATATTTCTCTCAAGTATTTCTTTCAAAAAACAAAAAACAAAAAACCAAAAAAAACAAAGAACATATATACCTATTTTATCGCATATGTTAACAAAAAAAATTGAGATGGAAACAAATAAGAAGGTGAAGAGTTAATAGCAATTTTCAGTTGAGGGTTGAAGTGATAAAAGGCCGTAGTTGAAGGGAGTAAAGTGTAATTTTGACGTTAAAAAATAAGAGTGAATTCTAATGAAAGAATGGAAAATGATCAGAATAATTGAAAAGGGTTTGCTCACATTTACATCCAAGTCCATTCCGGGACCAGTTTCGTGAGAATTCTCTTTCTTGACACGGCTAATACTTGCTTTGGAATCCATATAATCATCCTCTTTTGTCGACTTTTTCTTATCACAGAAAAAGTCGACTTCGTTGACAACCGTCCGATTCTCATCAGACGGTTGCAGAGCAGTGTGCTGCTCTTCCCTCCGGTTTAATCTAACCGGAAACTCAATTCCTGAAAACATACCGCCTCGGCTCCGGTTCAATCTCGGAGTTAAACTCAACCCGGCCGGTTTATTTGGAAAAAAACCAATTGAATCAGAATCAAGGGTGAGCCCCCACCCTTTGTCCATAAATCAATGAAGCAATCAATCAAGAAGAAGTAGAGAGAGAGAGAGAGAGAGAGGTTGTATATATAAAATTTGTATGTATAGAGAGAGAAAGTGGGATGTAGATGAGGAGGGAGGGAGAGAGGGAGGGGGGAGGTGGCCTTTGTGAAGTTTTGAAGTCTTTTACAGGAGAAATGGGAAGGGGTATAAAAAGGGATGGGGGTGGAGCCCAAAGTGGATGTGTGTGGTGAGAAAGGGAAGGGGTTTTGATAAAGTTACGTAAGGTGGTGCGTCAGAGAGGTGACAGGTGGCAGTGGGACCAGTGGAAGAAAGAGAAGAGAGGGGTTTCGTCTACATTTCGTCGAGACTGAACTTTGACTTGCTCCTCTAAATCAATGAATTAGGAAAGTGGGTAGGTATTCACTACTCCCAGAATATAATGGTTTTGTTAAGACATGTGAGAAATTTTTTTAGAAAAAGCCCATTAGTGAATATGTAATTTTTATGATGTGCTCATCATATCACATGATATGCGTCATCATAATTATTTTACGTAGTTAGTTGTGTTTGATTCAGTGTTTGTAGATGGTTTAAAATTTTTAAGTCTTGTTAATATGCATCATTAAAACAAATGTTAAGATAAAATTACGTGCTTATGTGTAATTAATAATCTATTTAAGTTTTTTAATAAGTGTTCTAAAAACATACGTTAACAAAATTATTTAAAATGTGTTTTTGACCAATAAAATTTGTGTTTTGTTCATACAAATTGAAAGTTTGTAATTAAAAACTAACTTATGTGTTGTTTATTTCTTATTTGTAATCAATGATGTAAAGAAAAATTATAAAAAGTGAGACAATTAACTTATTTGAAAAGTTAGTTATTTTAGTTAACTTTTTAACGTGGCTAAAAAAGTTGTGTTTTGAATGATAGGTAGCTCTTTTTTTGTAGTTGATTTGATGATTGTGAGAAAAAAATGAAATGATTATGATTTGGATATGATATTTTATCTTATTGATTATTTCAACCAATTTTCTTTTTATTGACTATTTTAACTTAAACCTAATTGACAAACACCCGAATATTAATCCATTTTTATTAAGTTGTTGGAAAATAGAGATGCTTGTGTTTGTAATTTTTCACTTATCAAAAACATTACAGAAAAAAAATTATACAAAAGTTTAGCTTTTAAATTAGTTTATTGACTTAAAATAAATCCACAAATAAAATGTCGCTTAAATGAACTAATTTTTTAAAAATATTTACAATTTTTCGAATAATAACTTTTTAAGTAATTAAAATTGATTTTTAAAGCAAAAAATGAGAATGCCAAACCATCAAAGAATAGTCCAACGAAATCTAAATTGGAGCAATACATAAATTTGTTGGAGTGCAGTGAATAATTTCTACAGAGAGCCACCGCCCCGAACCGTGCGGCGCGTTCCACGTGATGAAAATGAAAGCCGTGAGCCAGGAAAAAAAGAAAGGGAAGAAACTCAACGAACTTGACGGCCGAGCTAAAGGGTGATTTTGACGACTGGTTGATCCTGCGGTGCATGTGGCATCTTCTTGAGGGAAATTATTCAATATTCTTGGAACACTACGTGTCTATACTCTAAATTAATCACCAATCAGTTAGACCCATGTTGTCCCTCCATTTCCAACATAAATCGTGGGCCCTTGTGTCTCTCCACCAATCAAAATATTATGGAGCACCACGTGTCCATACTCAGAGAGTACTGAATAATCACCCCTTCGTGAGACCTACTTTCTGTTGTAGACCAACACGTTTCAGATCAACACGTTTCAGATCCAATCTTTTGACTCCCTTATCGGGTGGGACCGAGGCCCCTGCCTATACTTTTTATTTTATTTATTTATTATATACTATATATTTTTATTTTCCATGCATAATACATGGCAAGATTAATTTAAAAATTTGGGGGGAAAGCCCATGAATTTTGAGAGGCCTAGTTATATTTTCTTTCTTGTGATTAAGAAAAAAAAGACCTAATCACGTAAGGGTGATCTCTGATCATAAGGAGGTGAAACCTCATAAGTCATCTATAGGTGCTATTATATAAAATGGTTATTCAATCATATAATAGTGAGTCGCGAACTTGAATACAGTAATTCAAACCGACAGTTCTAACACTGAGTATGGTCCCAATTATTAAATATTTGTCCTACCAACCATATGTGTTGCCGTTCGAATGACTGACTTTAGAAAAAGTGAAACTTGAAATTTTAAGATTTATATCTCAAAACCTTATCAAGTTGCCAAACCCCCTTGTGATTTACTTAATAATAATTGACCACAAAAGATGAACTAAAAAACTAAGGAAAATTATATTTAAAAAAATTACCTTTTTAATTAAATATTTTTTTTATTAATTTAAATATTAATATTTTGATTTTTTTTAAATTTAAAATATTTACCCATTTTCGTTAGGTAAAATATCAAAAAATATATTTTAATTATTAAAATCAAAGAAAATAGATATTTTAGACATTTTTCATACACGTACATTGCGTTGAGTGATTTAAATTTATTTTTTTTAAAATAATTTTACTTAATGAAAATAAACATATAGTTTAAATTGAAAATAAAAAATAAATAAATTAGAGTTCAAACTGACAAAATTAAAAATTCATGATTTATTTTGTTAAACAATTCAAACCTTGATTTTTGTTTGTTTGTTTGTTTTTTTTTTTTTTTTTTTTAAAATTTTTCTAAAAAACTATATGTAAACAATTCAGATTAAAGAAATATACCCAGAATGTTGATGTAGGGTTGAAATTTAAATTTTGTAGGGTAGAACTCATATTTTGAATGAATTTAAAATATATCAAATATTTTATTTTTATTTTCTATTTACTAATTTTGTGTACTTCGCATTGCTTAAAGACAAAAGACAAACTGCAAGGCTATTTTTTTATTGCAGTAGAACATAAAGTCCATGGTATAAAGCAGCCATATATTAATATTAGTTTTTTTGTGTTCTTCTATTAAAAGCTCACGAAAAATTTCTAATTATAAAACTAGACTTTAATAAAAGTGAGTAGTTGGTGCATGCTTTAATTTTCCTTTGAAAGTATTATGAAGTTGATTTAAATACCCACGTACCTTCTTTCCATTGTATGGTCCAATTTTTCAACATATAGTGACTTACTTTAATCCTATTAAATGTTTCTTGTTTCTCTAATCACAATAAGATCGAGGTTGACAAGTTGAAAAAAAGTTAAAAAATTAAAAAATTATTCAAAAAATTAAAAAGTTATCACTATTCACCAAAAGTTAAAAAGTATGACTGCACAACTGTCAATCCTAATTTTTCCCTCAATTCTAATTTTCCCCTACACACTAATTTAAACAATTTTTTAATACACATTTTTTCATAAAAAGTCAAAAAATTAACCCAAACATCCATATTTTTTCCCTCAACCTTTTAATCTAAAAAGACAAAAAATACACTTATTTAGGACACGCCAAACAATCCCTAAATATCCTTTTTGAAATAACATATGGCATGACATTGGGACAACAAGACTTGCCTAACTTTTTTTGGAGAAAGAAAAATGTTAAATTGATAGAATGATATAACAGCGGTATCTATATAAATTATGAAAAAAATTATGAAAATTATGTTTTTAAACTAAAATACTATAATTTATTACATCATTCTGTATAACATTTATAAAAAAAAAAAAAATTCTTCTATTTTTATATCATTATTCTTGAAAAAATTATTCAATATTTTTAGAATAAATCTAAGTGATGCTCCAAAGTAATAATTATTGATCTAAATCTTGTGTACCGCAAGCATTGGCATTAAATTGACCACATGATCCAATCAAAACTTCTCATTTTATTTTTATTTTTTAAATTTGGGTCTGGACGATCTTCAGTCCAGATCTGGGACAGTCCAGTCTAATTTGGCCCATTGAGTTTACTTTTAGACCCCTTTTCGATAATATTAACCGTTCACATTTTAAGATTTATTGAGTACATTATTCTTGTAAAAAATTACATTGATTGGATAACGGATATTATATATTTGGATCACTTTTGTCTAGAAAAAAAATGAACTGTTAGAAAATTAACAATTCATAAAAAAATTATTCGAATACATAGTATCTGTTATCTAATCGACATAATTTTTTACAGGGACAATATACTAAACAAATTTTAAAATTTGAACAATTCACATTATCGAAAAAGAGTCCAAAAGTGAGTTTAATAGGCCAGACTGGACCCTCTAATTTAGATGGTAAACTAGAGACAAGCCACTGCCTTTAAATTTTTATGAGTAATTCTCATCTCCTATCTACTACAAGGATTGGCCTATGTTGGTTCCATCACACATCCTATTTCGACATTTTTAAGTTATTATTCATGAAAAAAAGTCAAATTAATTCAATAAACATAATGATATAATTTTAACATATTTACTTCTAAAAAAATAAAAATAAAAGGTAAATAAGATTTAAAACTAATATATATATATATATTTGAAACAAACATGTTAAAATCATGTCAATATAATTTTTGGACCAATTTCAATTTTTTCATGAATGATCTTCACTTAAAAAAATTAAAGGATTAAAGTTAGGATAGAATCATCTAATCCATATAGTAGACTGAAAACAAGCTTTGGTCTTATTATAATAATAATTATTTTTATATATTTTTATTTTTCTAAAAAAATTGTGAGGAAGCTTTTAGATTGTATTTGGATTTAAGATTTAAGTACGGATTTCGAAATGAAAAAAAAAATGGTGGATGAAATGTGGGAAATGAAAAGATAGATGAAATGCAAATAAAATATAATTACATTTTACCTATTTTTTATTTATTATTTTTTTTCTAAATTCATATCCAAATCCATGGTCGAAATACAACCTTAAGATAAGGTTATATTGAATCTACAACTAACGATGTGTTTGGTTTATGAATTTGGAGAGAAATCTAGAAAGAAAAATGAAAAAAGTTAATAAAATGTGAATGAAATATAATTAAAGCTCAAACACATTTTTCTTCTCTTTCCAAATCGATGAACCAAACACACAACCCAAGTAAATTCCAAATACAAGAAATTACTCATAAATCATTTGTATTAATTAAGATCACGTAGAGACATTAAAATTGTATTTAGTTCATG